CTCTCTCTCTCTCTCTCGCTCTGCCGCCACGGGTTATGTGCATATATATATTTGTGTGTCAGTGGCGGCGTGTTGTAGGATTAGCTACGTGTAAAAACTCCCACGGCGACGCCAGCACGTGCTCGCACGGTGCGCGCCACGGGCAGCGCGGGGTCAAGAGGACATATCAAATTCCATATTGCATATCGCTTGCGATCTTACTATCCGAACTCGAAGGAATTCTCAGTCTAAACAACCATCAATCAGTCAGGCCTGCGGGGAACTAAGATGGCTGGTGGCCCACGTCACGACTCCAGCTAGACTCGTACGGGCCTTAACTTGGCCAAGTATCTTTCGCTACACTAAAGTTATAGTTAGTGGAGCGTGTCAAACTCTCCACCGCGGGGCAGTCTAAGGAAAATTCTCTGCAAAATCCCTCGAAGAGAGCCTCGTCGCGCCATCTATGGGACGCGATATGTACGAGAATAAGTTCAGGGCGTGAAATTAAATAAATTCGAAATCGCTTTTCTAGAGGAAAACGTAACGCGCCAACCAAAAAAATTAGCAATTACGACCATTGGATTTATTCTCGCCCTACGTGCAGAGTCGAAAGGCTTCTGCAATCGCCAGAACTGCTCAATTGACCGATTATGCGGCTTTCTGTAGTACCCAGAGGGCTTCGCGTAGTTAGTTCTACATACAGGGCAGCGAATTGGATGAAAAGGCGCCACGAGGTGGCGCTGTTCGCGCTTCGCGCGTATATCCGGGCTGCAGATCGTCGAGTACAACGCCTTACAACACGTACCATACGATGCCATACAACACCCACGTACAGCACGTTATAACATTGAGTACAACACCTTACAACACCGTACGATGCCATACAACACCCACGTACAGCATGTTATAACATCGAGTACAACACCTTGCAACACTTTATAACTCTGTACGATGCCATACAACACATTACAAAACCCAAGTACAATACATTACAACACCCTTCAACATTTAGGTACAGCAGTTTACAACATCTCATAGACCACCTCACAACGCCAGATAACATCGTACAAAATACGAGCACAGCACCTTACAACACAAAGTCACGTGGAGAGGGTGAATAGTTCTTATACATGGTGTTTTGTCAACTTCAGGGAGCCCATTAGCTCTACCATGGGCTCTGCTATGAAATCAGTTTAGTTGGAACACCTGTTGTGACTATCAATGCTTCAGGACCATGCGGGGTATAGGTTGGGCGGGGGAGGGGGGGGACTAAACTCAATAACTGGCACTCGTGCCGTACTGCCACGAGTTGTTAACTCATGAATGCCTCGGCGGACTTTGGTGCTGACCAGTGAAAACATTTTTTTTTTTTTCCGGGGCTCTTTTGGCAAACCCCCCAAAATTTCGGGGGCTACTTTTTCATTTTTCAGGGCAACTTTTTTCCAGGGCTGTTTCCTCAAATGTACACACAAGCACAGTAGCTAATACACACTCGCGGGGGCGCGCACACACCACACACGTCACACACTGAGTCAACACACCACGGCACGAGCACGCACCGCGACGCACGCATGCACGCCTCGCACGCACGCACGCACGCACGCCCGCACGCATCGCCCGACTGGCACGATCACACACACACAACATCAAGTTCAGCTAACGCACAATCGCACCTTGAATAGTGAAATACATCACAGGTTCTAGCTAAACACAGACACTATTCACGGCTAGCGCAAATTAGTGGAGTGTCTGCCTGTAGCGAGCGAGGAGGAATCGGTTTAACGGCGAAGTCCTCTTGCGGCTGGGGTCCTGGCCCGCGTAAGGGCCCTGGAAGCTCAGGGGGTTTGAGAAAGCGGCCCGCGAGGCATTGTGTATGGCTGTGCACTGATCGACGCTGCGTACGTTGCCTGCGGCAGGGGCGCAATTCGATTGACAGTACCGGGGGGGGGGCACGGATTGTTTCAGCGTGGTAACCTAATCACTACTAAAGATGTAGAGGTTGGCATTGCTGTGACTAAGTTGAAAAGAAGCGCCAGCAAAAACTCGTTTCGGGGAATTGACGAAAAAGCTACAATTGGGAATGACACACGAGTGTGCCGGCAGGGAAAAATATACGTGTGAATTTCATTAGGATTTTCCATGGATTACCGTTCTATAATCCTTCGGGGTCGTTGGTCCTACGGGTCTACGTAGGCATGCCCACAGGCACACCCGCACGCACGCACGCAGGCACACACACAAGCACGCCCGCTGGCACACCGGCACACACAGGCACGCACGCGCGCAAGCACACACGCAAGCACGCGCACAGACACACACGTATATACGCGCGGGCGGCGGCGCGCGCTTGATTGAATGCAATACAGTACAGTACACACATGCATGCTTAAATGGTAAACACTTGACAGTCACACCGTACCATGAATTCTACCGCACCGTGGAACCGGCTGACGCTAGCGGCAGAGGCCGAGCGAGAGCGGCAAGGCGCGGGACCGACCTGGACAATTGATTTCCAGGGCGACTTTTGCTTTTGGGGTCGCCCCCGATATCATGTTTTCGGGGGCTCTTTTTGGCATTTCGGGGGCGAAATCGCCCGCCGCCCCCGTGTATTTTTTTCCCTGGTGCTGACCACACTATCTTACCTCTATGTTTGCCACTGTCTCGTATCCATCGTCACCCAGTACCCCATGGTGCATGCTCAGCAGCAAACCGCACTCTCGCTGGGGCATGAATTTTCCCTGTCGGAAGGCATCGATGTATGTGTACTCCGCACCACCTGTCAGCCTAAAGACACACTGAATAGGTAAAAGGCGGACTTTCAGAGACGTTAAACCTCGCCGATTCTATGTTTCAGTACGACTCGGTATATGACATCGGCTTAAATGTTTAACAGAATATCCATATCACTCCAGCCTAGTGGTACTAGATATTACTAACGACACTAACACCAGTCAATAGAATAGTGTTTGATTGAAGATTAATAGATGTTAACTATTAACAATGTTTTTCATTTGTACAATACCGTCACATTTAAAATATAACATTTCTGACAGCATTACTTCATAGATGGCACCACTTTATGCCATTACAGTCACTTACCTTGGATGTTCCTTCCACCTTAGCAGGAAATGCGTAGGGAAGTTAACAGGTTCCAGGTATACTCCTAGGATGTGAGCAACACCCCAGTACAGCACACACAATGTAATAGGTATTCCTGTCTTCTGCTGTAACACCTGTGGAGATGTATGATGCATGGCATGTTGATCAGTAAACATTCTACACACAATTGTCACTGTTATGACCTCGATCTTCGATAAGAATAAATTTATCGAATAAAAATACTATCAGTGTATGAGATGCTTTACGAAATATAAGAACTCTTAGTAGCATCTAAAGCCTGCATCCAATTTAGAGACAGGTTATCGATTAATACCATATTTACATTCAAAGGTTGTATAATATTCAATAAACCAAAATTTAACTAGAAAGGGCAGTTGTCGCCAACTACATGTATCCCCGTGCTCTCCCCAAGATGTGTAAGTATACAAAGTTTGGCTGTTTCAATTAGGGGCTAAGTTATAGAGTGGAAGGGAAATATGATCAAGGTCAAGGTCAAGGTCAAGGTCAAATAAAAGCCGCAGTGACCTTGTTTTGGTATGCGACACACATTCTCCCCAAGATGTGTAAGTATACAAAGTTAGGTAGCGCTAGGTCAATTAGGGGCCAAGTTATAGAGCGGAAGGGAAATATGATCAAGGTCAAAGTAAAGGTCAAATAAAGGTCG